GGTTATCATAATGTCAGAATCATATACTGGCCCATGCCTAACACCGAATGCTAAAGAACAAATTGAATTGGAAGTAGCTTAACATATTTTCTTCTACTGTGACACATCTGAGTGAAACAGATCATCATCACAAAAAGGTTTTTCCCATTGATTGTTTGTATTTTGAAATGTGGGTGTTGCACTCAAAATTGCAAACAGATGAACACAAGTTGTGAAGTTTAAGGGTGTGTTCACACTTGACAGATTTGGTTTAATCAAACTATGGAGCAACTGTTCTGTTAGTGTGGTTCATCTGAATGAAACCTTGCCATATAAAGCTTGGTGAGCAACAAGCAACTGGACAAAGAGTGTTGAAAAGAAGGGTCTAGCTCGTCTTCTAAACAAGCTTTGGTTTGACTGAAATATGAATATAACATGGACCAAAGGATTATGTCACATGATGTGACCATATAAAGGACAGACAGCTATACTTGGTTTTTGTCATTACTCAACAGATTAATGTTGGAAAAACATCTTCTGCCACTAGCTCTTTCTTTGTGTCTCTAATTTCTAGACATGTTTTGACTTTAAGAAGCTTTTCACTAATTCTCAAGTGATAAAAGTACATATACAGTACAGTACAACACAACGATCACATTTGTTTTTAATGTTTTGTAAATTCTGTCATAAAATATAAGTCATAGAGCCTTTTGCTTTTCTGTAAGTTTAGTTTGTCCAAAGAAATGACTGAACTCTAAGTAAACGAGGATTAAATGTGTACTTTTTAATGAATCACAAAAACCAAGTGTGTGAACTCACTCTAAGAGGACTGGAGAAGTCCTGTAAAATCACCAGAGAGAAGTGTGTCATTTTCACAGGAAGGTGACATTTGGGTTCAACCCTACGATCACAATACACTTAAAGAATAAACAAGCTGATGAATAGTTCGTAATGCGGTCTATAACATGAATTAAGAAAATGTTCAATGTCGTAAATTCACTTGAAGTCCCGTTTAGTGGTGAAATGTGAATCTAAACAACTCTTTAGCCGCAAAATTGAAAGTGCAGTCCAGCCCACTGTGCTAGCGCACAGCTAATCAGGCTGAGATCATGCTAGCTCTACAAATGCAGCGTACTGTGTAACGTCTAATTCATCTTACACGTAATAGCAGTCTACAACAACTGATCCTGACGTTTACATACGGAAAATGTGTCGTTTGTCTTTATAAAAACACGTCGATGAACAGTTTAGTGAACGAGCTGTCACATCCACGGCCTCTTCCTGTCACTCCAACAGACAGTCACATGCACGTAAACCTCCATGCATCTTTATAACAGCTCATGCAGTACTACCCAGTTAACATCAATGTAATGTTTGTACACAAATCAAGCAGCTCTAGTGTGAAACTGACCTATGGTGGAGATGAAAGTGGTGTTGAAGGCGTCCTCGCTGAATCGAAACAGCAGACAGGTCTTGCCCACACCGCTGTCTCCGATGAGCAGCAGTTTGAACAGATAGTCGTACGTTTTCGCCATATTTTCTTGTTTCTCCCTCGTCTGGCTACCTTCTTTCGGCTCGGTAGCAGAGTAACGGTGTTTGACTAACGGTACATAAGAGATGCGGTTCAACTTGTGTTTCCGACTTTACTGCACGCAGCGCAGCAGTGAGGAAGAGACTGGGCGGGTCTGCCGTGACGTCATCACGAAAGCATAAACGTCAAGAGCGTCAGGCGGTACTGAAAGCCCTTTTCCTTTTCCGTCCCATTAGAGCAGCTGCAGGGGTGCCCAAACGATTTTTCTCATGAAGGGTCAAAAACCAAACCTGATTGACGGCTGTGGGCTGAAGGTTAGTATAACAACTATTATACACCAAAGTTTCCAAGAGTAAGTTTCTCATTCATTTGCTAATTTTATAACTAATGCAGTATCTATAAACAAGTGTAATGAACTTATTACAGTAAAACTTAAATAATGCTATTAATGAAATAATGGACTTCAACGCTGAATGCACTAAGCTGCCTTAGCCTTGATTTGCTTGCTGATGTCTTGTGCATTTGCCCTCTGTTCAGTTGCGTGACAATATTTACATTTTCAGAAAATCTGATTCATTTACAAAACAAACAAACAAAAGGTTGTATTAAATTTAAAACGACCATCTTTGTCAAAAATATTCTCTTCAGCCACCTCCCCATCATTCTCTTTCTTTAATCAAATTTATAACACAGTGCAGTTCAATACTGAATACACTAGTCAAGCAGAATCTGCCTTTAACTTGATTTGTTCACCAAAGGCTCTGCATTGTCAGCTGACACTATATAGATTTTAACAAAATCTGCTTAATTCACACAATTTATTTTAAGTGTTTAATTTCAGTTTGCTTTAAACAAACAAACAAATCTTAAAACAAACAAAGGCTTACATTAAATTTTAATTGACAATCTCTAAACCATCCCCCTCATTCTCCCTCTCTTCTCAGAGAGACTTATGGGCCAAATCAAATGTTACCATGGGGCAACTTTGGCTCGCAGGCTCTAGTTTGGCCATCTCTGCTGTGAAGAGGGAAAAAATCTTTCGCAAATTATTTGACGGTTTCATAAATAAAATAAAAAATAATGAGGGAAAAATAATGTGAAATTATGATATACTAAGTCATAAGGAATAAAATAAATTATGAATCAGTTCTGAGATGATACTTAAGTAAAAATTCTGGACAATAAATCATAAATGACACACAAAGTAATTATGAAAGTGTGATGTTGTGGTAATCTCCCTCATAGTTTTGACTATTATATAATTCGCTATTCTATGTTTTTCATTGTAATAATTTGGCTATTGTTATGTAATAATTATGATGTAGTGTCTAATAAAAGATGATTATTAGACATACACAAATGTAATAACTGATGGAGCTGAAAATTGATGCCTTAATGTTTGGCAACAGCTGTAGACATTTCTGTTTTCATGACTTTGTCATGGAAGTTCCCTCTGCTCTTATAGCCTCACTTAAATTGATTTTTCCAGGAGGGAGGAGTGCTCAGCATCAGTACAGCACACAACCTGTTACTTTCACTTACATCTGTGGAAATACCTAACTTTTTGAATGATTCATGGTGTTGTCACAATGTTCACAGCCATTAGGTTTCTGAATACTTTAGACACAACTGTTCCTTACAAATTTCCCTTATTTGCTAATATGCCTCTGTTGCTATTGTAATGTCATAATTGATTAATATGTCATTTATTTATTTATTAAATGTTTTATTTCATTAGCAAATATGACACTAAATTCTAGAACACAAGTATTGTTTGTAAACCATCGTGTTTTTAATTTATTATTGTTCTAAGTAATCTGAAAAAGTCATTCTTAATAAAATAAATGAGGGGTGCCCAAACTTTAAAGTATGAAGGGCCAAAAACCAAATATTATCGCGAGCTGTGGGCCGAAGGTAAATATAGGCTATACCATGTAATTTCTTAATTTATTTCCTAATATTTAAAAAAAATATTTTAAATCATATTAACTAATACAGTATAACTTTTTTTAAGTGACAACTTTTTACAATAAAACCAAACAATCAAATTTATAACACAGTGCAGTTCAATACTGAATACACTAGTCAAACAGAATATGCCTTTAACTTGATTTGTTCACCTAAGTCTCTGCATTGTCAGCTGACAGTATATAGATTTAAACTAAATCTTATTAATTTACACCATTTAATTAAATCATTTAATTCTGTTTGCTTTAAACAAACAAACAAAGCTTAAAACAAACAAAGGCTTACATTAAATTTTAATTGACAATCTCTAAACCATCCCCTTCATTCTCCCTCTCTTCTCAGATAGGACGGTGGGCCTAATCAAAGGTTACCATGGGCCAACTTTGGCCGCGGGCCCTATTTGGACATCTCTGGCAGGCCAGGATTGGCTAATCGGGAGGACCGGGAGAATTCCCGGTGGGCCGGTCCGTTTTTTGGCCGCGAGGGCCGGTGTCCCTAGTTCCAGAATCGGTTGCTCTCAGCAGTCACACTTTTTAAAAATAATTTAATTATTTACTTGACCACAGCCTTCTTATTAATTATTTTACCGCAGCTCTGCTCTTTTTATCTATTTTCTCGTAGCCTCGTGAGCAGGATGCAGGTTAATGATGATATAACTAGATAAGTCACCTTTAAACATACAGCAGTTGTGGTACAGTGGTTAGTACGTTAGATTATGAGGCCGCCAATCCGGGTTCGGTCCTTGTCTGAGTAACAATTTTTTTTTTCATTTTTATTGTTAAGACATAATACTGTAAGGGTTGTTGAACATTTGAAGTTCTAAAAGTGCTGTTTTCTCAAAAAAAGACGTGATATTGTAATTAGAAACTGAATTGGAAATAACCTTATTTTAATAAAGTCAGTGGTGAACTGAGGTGGGCCGGTCTGAGGCTTGAAACTCCAGGGCTGAAAAAGAGTCCCACTCCGGCCCTGATCTCTGGACTAAATTAACTTTAGTTGTGCCATGTCCCCGCCTGCTGGAGGACACTGGTATCACTCGCCATACTGCTGCTGCAACTTTTCACTTCTCATGGAGCCACAGCTCCTCTGATCCCCAGTGAACGTATTTGCATTTAATCTAATGTTAAGTAATGGACACAGCAGATTAGAACCTTGTGCACTTAAAAAACATTTCAAGATGAACAACATGAAGAATGTAATGAATTTTAAAATGCAATATTGTTTATTTCAACTGTTTAAAAAGCTGACATAGGCTCAGGTTCAGGTACTTTTTATTTGCTTAAATGATTCTCTTTAAACTGTTTATATTTACAAACCCCTTTTTTAAAATGAGTTCATAAATGTTTCATAACAAAATACATGTTCCAGTGTAATGAATCATTTGTGACGGGAAAGGGTTATCAATCACATTTTAACGGAGTGGTTGAGGATTTTAGCTTAGTTTTTTCTCCTTTTTATGACTTGTGTACATGTTTTCTATCTTCAGTGAAGGAAGGAGCAGGCTGGTTGACCAGAAAGGAGGCCGTCCTGGAAATAAATGACATGTATTGCATTGAAGAAATGGAATGGACCTGCTGGACTGTATTTACACAAACCGAAGGTGAAACTGCATTGAGTGGAAAGCAGGAAGTGCAATGATAACAATAGATACAATCAGAGTAGTTATTCAAATACATTTTTAAAATCATAATCAACTCATTGTGCCAATGTCCTTGCATTATATTCATCACGTTGTGATCCCACACTGAAGTTATTTATATAATGTACAGTCCAACATGAATATTAGGAAGTTAAATGCTTTGCAAACAATAATACAATACATTATTTTCTCAGCTTATGGGTTAATGTGGCGCCCTTCAAATATCATAAGGACTGTCACTTCTTGTTCTCCAGACGAAGTTTCCACCACTTATGATTCTGTAAAAAAGAAAACAGTTTCAGCATTTTCATCTATTCATTTTCACTGGGTTTCATAGGGACATTTTCATTAGTCCCTTTATTCATCAGGGGTTGCCAAAGCAGAATGAACCACCAATTTATCCAGCATATGTTTTACACAGTGGATGCCCTTCCAGCAGCAACCCAGTACTGGGAAACACCCACACACTCTCACATTTACACTCATACACTACAGCCAATTTAGTTTATTCAATTCACCTATAGCGCATGTCTTTGGACTGTAGGGGAAACTGGAGCACCCGGAGGAAACCCACGCCAACACAGGGCGAACATGTAAACTCCTTACAGAAATGCCAACTGGCCCAGCTGGGACTCAAACCAGCGACCTTATTGCTGTGAGGCGACTGTGCTTATCACTGAGCCACCCTGTCACTCAGTTTCAGCATGGTTTACTCTCATAATTAATAGATTTGCTTTAATCATATCAGGTCTCACCTTCTTCCCCAACGTGTTCGGTGTTTGGGTCTGAATCTCATCTAGGCTTGCGTACATGTTGCTGACTTTCACTGGGATGTCCTCGTAGGTGTTGCTCTCAGGTACGTGTTCATAGGTATTGTAGTCACGCTCTTCAGGTACGTCTTGATAAAGATTTTCTGCCAAAAGGACGTTGTCATTGGGATTTGCACGGTTGTCATACTCAACCTCAGGTTGATTCTTCAGCCCAGCGTACGCAACAGTTGAGGCCTGATAGAGTGGATTGGGCTGTAGTTCTGTTTCTTCCATATTCGCCATTCGACCAGCTCCAGAATGCATTTTTTTAGGGTCAAGAACAGCGTAAGAACAGGAGGCTGTCATCAATGGAGCTGGAGGAGGTTGTTGAGGCATGGAGGGCGTAGGATTATAGGAGTTAGAAGTTAAAGACTGACCGTTTTCATGATGGGTAGGCCATAACTGAGAGCTGTAGTGCTCAGATGTCCTTGATTCTGTAATGCTGTGTTGTTCATGTGAAGGATTAGTACCAGGAAGACCAGCGCTTAAAGAATTCCGAAGTGGTGCGTTTTTCTTTGGCAGAGATGGGATTTTCATTGCCTAATGATTTTGACACATGAATGAAACTCAATACTGAGTATGTAAAAAAGCATAGATTGTATCCAAGGAAGTAGTTGACATTGTTACCTGAGACAGGCTGTTCCTGTCAATAGAGGTGGAGGTTGTGAGCTTCCGATTGCTTTTAGAAGGCAGGACAGGAGCCATGTTGTGTGGGCAGTTGGTAGCTTGTTCCCATAAACTTGTTAGAGCCTTTACACTCACTCCTGATGTAACTATGGGACTATTTTGAACCACATCATAAAGCTCGTTTCCATCATCCTAGAAAAATAACACAAAAGAACATTAGTAGTGCAAGACATTTCTGGATATGATAGCATTCTGCTGGCGACGCAGTGGTGCAGTAGGTAGTGCTGTCGCCTCACAGCAAGAAAGTCGCTGGTTCGAGCCTCGGCTCAGTTGGCGTTTCTGTGTGGAGTTTGCATGTTCTTCAAAGACATGCGGTACAGGTAAATTGGGTAGGCTAAATTGCCTGTAGTGTATGAGTGTGTGTGATTGAATGTGTGGATGTTTCCAGAGATGGGTTGCGGCTAAAAGGGCATCCGCTGCGTAAAAACGTGCTGGATAAGTTGGCAGTTCATTCCGCTGTGAAGACCTCGGATTAATAAAGGGGCTAAGCCGACAAGAAAATGAATGAATGAATAGTATTCTGCTTGCTTTTATGTATTTGCAAGTACATTTAATAGTATTTTATGTTGTGCTGATCGATATGGAAGTAAAAAATACCTATTGGTAATGTTTTTTGCGAGACAATATAACAATTTCTTACAAAAACTTGTAATAATTAATTACACAAGTTAAATTGTTAATTCAGTTGTGTGAACAAGTGAAATACTGTAGAGGCTAATTGAATATTTGAATAAATAAGCACAAAATAAGTGTAAATGCAATATAAAAACACATAAAATAAAACAAACTGTAGCACGCTTTGAATGAGCCATTTGAATCAGTGAGTCGTTAGTTGTACACTCACTCAGATTGGATTTCAGATCTATCCAATATATAAAATATTTGTTCAGTGTAATTTGTGAACCAAATTAAGAGATTAATTGTCAAGATTCAGCTTTTTCATAAATCAGACCGCCAACCTGATTTCACGAAGTAGGATATGTTTCTGGATAAACATCTATGAAACAACATTCCAATCAGCCAATTAGCATTATGGGATACATTTACAGTTTATGTTAAGTTTAGGCTTATGGTTAGGTTTGTTTACGTCTACATGATTGTTATCCTATCATGATTCCCCTCTAAATTTGAGAGTAATTTAGAGTTATGGTTGGGTTTTAGGGGTAGGGAACAGGTATGGATTACTTTTTCAAACAAAAACGATGTTTCAGGATCAAGATAGATGATAATAAAGGATCGCATCGTACTTGGTAAAATCATGAAGTACCATATCAGACTCTGCTATAATATCTCTAAACCTGCAATGATTTCTCTGTGCATTGATTATTCCAGTGCAGTGGAACAAAAAGTAATAATTTGTTTTGAAATGTACTGAAGTAAAGAGAAACTTTTCTTCCATATAAAAATAATCCAAAAACTCAGCCGTAACATATAAAGAAATACTTTTGTCCACCGCTGCTTTATGTAGAACCGTATACTTTTTCCCCAATGAGTGAATCATCCAGTGAAGGAAAAATACCTAGATAAAGCTTGTCTGATTTGGCTGGTCATGTGATCTCATCATGATTGGCCAATGATCCACCCCAGCTTCGGTAAGTAAAACTCTATTGACATGATGTCAACATGATTTTATGAATATATTTTTCAAACTACTGTTTTTTCTTTCTTTTTTTTTAAAAGTGAAAGAATAGACTCTACCTCTTCCACGGTGTCCATCTCAGTGCTGTATGAAGTCAGGTACTCTCCAAAAGGCTGGATCGGTGTGATTTTAAAGTGGTCAATCAGCTCTGCGAGACTGTTATGAGTGGTAGAATCACCAGAAACGACAAACAGGCCAGTTTTCGTTTGATTTATGACAAAATGCCGACAACGATCCTGACCTCTGTCAACATTAAACATTGAAGAACTGTTTTAGAACCATTATCTACATTTTTGACACAATAAAGAATATAAAATGATTATATTATGTATCACATTACAATTTACAATACACATTCAAAGTCCCATTTGATAATATCTCTTTAGTTATAGTGAACCATTAAGAAACAATGCTTGTACAGAAAACTAAATAGCTCAGTAACATCAAATTGTCAACATTAAGTCTTCTTTTTTTTAATAAAATTTTTTTCTGGTCTCTAACCAGACAACCAATAGTTGTATTATGTGAACTAACATTTAAAGACAATTATTAAATGCTGTGCAACATGATATTGCTGACTGTTTGTTCTCATTCTTACTTGTATGAAAGAATATATCCAATGGCTTTCTCGCTGAGTCTGATAAGGAAGCATCCAACATCCCTGTCTCTGAGCTGATCTTCTGCTTCCCTGCAAACAGCGATAGTTACTGTACTACAGTGCCCCCCTCTAAGAAATAAAGCTATAACTGAGGGGCTACCCTTTTTTAAAGGCACATTTTTATACTTTTTAGTTGCTAAATCATCTTTATAACACTTTTAGGTTTTAATATATCACTTTAAAGCATTAATATGAATCCTAACATGTATCCATTAAATACAGAAGTGTACCCTTTGAACGGGTCAAGTCCTAGTGATGGCTTAACTGCCTCCATTTTCAAACAGACATTTGCATTATAAGTCACCTGCAGCCTATAGCCGTTCATAATGTTTTACAGCTCACAATGTAACAGTTATGGTTAGCAAACCTCTCGTCTCTTATTAGTTCTTACTGTCTGGAGATGAAACCTTGGAACCAGCGTGGAAAGTTTCCATCAGACAGGATGAACATAGCCTGAGTCTCCACAAACCACTGGAGGATCTGCTCTTTCTGACCTCCCTCCATGGTGAATCCTTCCATTTTCTCCTCGTTTAGTCTGTCCGACTTCTTCATCTTCTGGTACATGGCTGCCTCTATTTGCTCCATTGTGAGCATCTCCTTCTCTACACAAATCCGATACACCTGGCTTTCCGTTTTCAAAGCTACATAACATCACACATTCACTGCGTCAGGAAGACTGGCACACTTCATTTGCCTAGCTTCCTCATACGTAAATATGTGCTCCTACATATATAAAAGGTTCTATTGTTTAAGTTTATCTGCCCATAGTCGGTAATGGCTTACTGGTTTAGTGTGATTTTGTTGTACTATCTCTTGGACGAATCTTCCACTTGAGGTGCCGTCCTGTATGAATATCAAAGATGAAAAATCTAGATTGGATTAGGAAGTAGGTCAACCACCGCACATTGTCCTGAAACATACCGCGCTAAAATAGCTTGTGAATATCTGGGAAAACACCGGAGAAGTTCATCATAGAAATTAATTTTTAGGAATCCTTGTTTTAATATATTTTGTTTTTGTCCCAAAATGTAAAGGGCAGTAGTGTATGTACCTTAGGGGTATCTTCATGGGGACATTTTGGTCCCCATGAATAAAAGGGCTCATAAATTACACATACTGTAATTAAATATTTTGAACATGTAAAATGCTGATCATTTCCTGTGAAGGTTGGATGACATTGATAGAAGTTGGTAGTGTAAAATTACTTTCATGGGAAATTCCCATAAAGGTAACTGTGTATGTGTGTGTGCCAAAATAATACACATTGTTTCCAATGATGACTCGACTATTTGCACATTTCAAAGCTTTCATTTGCAGCTAAATGTTTTGTATAAATACATTTTTAATTCATTTTAACCATGTTTGATTAGTCTTGAATTTGTACAACAGACATGCAAATATAAATATGCCTCTTTATATGATGGTCAAGTTATGAAATTAAGAGATTGTTATATTTCCCCTCTGAACACTAACAATGGCTGTATTATAATAACGGTGTTGTAACCTTTAACTTTTTCCGACCCACTGATTTGCATTTGTGTAACCAGTTTTTACAGAAAATACCTTGGTTAACTGTGGTTAGTGAAGTAAGACCAAGGTTGAACTTTTCTACCGGTTTAACTACAATGGCCAAGTCTCTATTTTACTTTTTGGTTTTATTTGTTGTAAAAATTATGTGATTAATTTGTCCTGAAAAAATTAAAATACTAGTCGTTATTAGTCATTGGTTGTTTTTATTTTATTACCTCAACAAAATCTCAATCAACTGTTTATCAATTTAAAAACGATGATAAGTTCAGGAGTAATCAGAGGAAAGGATCATGAGGCAACGGGGCAACATTGATTATTCTTATTGAAACTAGCTACAGAACAGCCTTATATTTCATAAGAACACTTTTATTTCGTGTTGTTTTTCAGTCATGGGACAATAAAGCTTCAGCGTGCGTGTTGTCGTTTTTCCGTCCAGGCATGAGTTCAACAGGTGGCGTGTCCGCTTTTAGAAACACGCTGCTGGACGCGTGCGCGTTCATGAGGAAACACTCGTGAGCGCATGAAAGCACACAGAACGCTACAGTGTTGTCGTCGGGGATGACAGGTAAATAAATATCTTGTGTTTTTACTACATTTTTAATAAACACCACATACATGCAAATACCAGGTCTTAAATGCTAATTATACTTAAATGTATCGTTTTGTCGGCAGTAACCTAAATTTTCGCCAGTAGTTTATGACTATTTTATGTCTGCTCTTATTTGTAAACCTTTTCGAAACTCGTTTTGTAAAGTTATTTTTGATCCGATGTTGCCACAATTGTATATACTTGAAAAATACTAGCCTATAGTGTTTTATAATAAATATAATAGTGTTTTTGTAGTCAATTGTAAATACAGTAGTAAATTTTGCAACAGCATAGGCCTACTGTAATATAGTGAACTGAAAAACTCATAAGTACTATAGTACACTTTTACTTTTTTTTTAGTTTTACTTCAGTTAACTGTGGTGTATTGTAGAACAATAATATAGAAATAGAATTATTACAACAGATTACCACAGTCCATCATGAATTACCAAGTATTTTACAATAGAATAGTTCAAATACACTATAGTATATTATATACTGTATTGCAAGCTGTATTGCTAAACTCAAATAGATTTTGAACAAGTGAGGGGTAAGAATTCATTGTTATTGCTTCTCTCCCAAGATTAAATCCACTACTCTTAGCAGCCGATTGTAGTGTATTTGCTAAAACATACACATTACCTGTCTTTTTGTGAATTTTTTTTTTTTTTAAATATTGTAGACATGTAAAAGAATTAGAGTTAAATATAGGCTAGGCCTCATCTTTATCTCGCACACTTGACTCGAGTAAGATCTAAATTTGTCCCCCCATCATGAATGAAATATTTAGGTCAAAACAAACTGTATAAAACTTTATGATCAGCTTTATGTATGCATTAAATGGCTATTTTAATTGACATGCACAGTTTTAGATATTTTGTAAATGCTTGTTGTGAGTCCATTCATTTAATTTTATCTAATTACATTTTTTAAAAGATCACAATGGCTGTGTTCAAACAGCAGCAGGTCGAGGATTTCTTTGAGATTGGAGAGGAACTTGGGAGGTAAGAATTTAGATGTTTATCTATTGGTTGCTCCAATAATTAATAATTTAGCAGTATAAATGGCACCTGCAGAGAACCAACATTAAAGTGATAGTTCACCCAAGACTGAAAATTCTATCATTTGCTCTTTCAATGCTTTCTTCATCATTTAAACACAAGATTTGTTTTTCGGAAAAGGTTGAAAACAGGTAACCATCAATGTCTATAGTACTTATTTTTCCTATATGGATGTCAGTGGTGACTTATTTTCTGCAAAACATTTTTGTTCGTGTTCAAAAAAAGAACTAATCTCAGGGAGAGAAAATAGTGAGTAATTTTTTTTTCTATTTTAAGGTGAACTGTCCTTTTAAGTACAAGAATATTAACATTATTTCAGTTGGGTCACTGATTTGAACAGAATTAATTACAGCAATCTGTAGTGCAACCTTATTTTTAATGGTATACAATATTTTATAAATGTATCATTTATGTTATTTCTAATATCTATTAATTTGATTAATAATAATAACATTTAAATGTTTTTATTCACATGCACTCAAAGCATACATTATAGTGTGGTTTTATATTAAGTCTTAAAGGGATTGTTCACCAGAAAATGAAAATTCTGTCATCATTTTCCCCTCACTTGTTCAAAATTTATTTGAGTTTAGCTATCATAAAGAAGATATTTTGGGAAAAATGCTGATTGCTAGCACCCATTGACTGCGATTAGTTATTTGTTTCCTACTTTGGATTTCATTGGTTACAGGTTTTCGGCTTTCTTCAAATCTTTGTGTTCAACAGAAGAAAAAAAATCTTTTTTAAATCTACAAGGAAGAATAAATGATTAGATAATTTTCATGTTCGTGTAAACAATCCTTTTAATTTAAATCTGAAATGCCTTTATATATACTTAAGTATATGATTGTTTATTTACATTTCTACAGCTGTAACATTAAAATGTTTTTTTTAATACATAAGTGAGATAGATTGTTTTAAACTTGGTGGTAAATTTGGCAAATTTCTGTTAGTTATTTAAATTTTCTTTATAACTTTATAGTAAGTAAAACAATTTTAGTTTATGCTATTGAACAAAACATCAGTGTCAGGTTATGCTTAAAAGACCAAAGACTTTTACTCATTAATCTAAAAACCTCATTATTAAAAACTCATATAAATACTGGATTTTAATGTCACAGCTGCAGATTATTCTCAGCCTTAATGTGTTTTTTTAACTACTTCTTGTGTATTTTTCAGTGGGCAGTTTGCAATTGTAAAGCAGTGTCGTGAAAAGAGCTCGGGCCGGGATTTTGCTGCCAAGTTTATAAAGAAGCGTCAGAGTAATGCTAGCCGACGAGGTGTCCTGCGAGAAGAGATCGAGCGAGAGGTCAACATCCTACAGCAGATCCATCACCCCAATATTGTCATGCTGCACGACGTGTTTGAGAACAAAACAGATGTGGTGCTGATTTTGGAGCTGTGAGTAGAACTTATAGTGTAATGACTCGATTATTTTTTTAAAGTTTTTTTTTTTTTTTTTTTAATGATTCACCTGACAACCCACATAGAAAGTGGATAAATGAAATATATACAAATTACATATATGTCATGTATGCAACATATATTTCAAAATATTGCAAAGAAATGGCCGTTTTGGGTTTATTTATTTATTTATTTGTTCATTTATTTTCAGCCATGGAATTACAAATATGTACAGTGCTGAGCATATATGAATACACCCCTCACAAATTTCTCTTAATTTCATATTTTCTAAGATGCTATAAAATATTATATTTGCATACAGTATACATTACATTAGTCAGTACTGAGCCAAATCTAGAGCTTATCTAATAAAATAACTTACTATAATGATCCAGAAATAAGTACACCTAAATTTATGTTGGAAAGATATTAAATAGCAACTTTTTAAAAAGACAAAAAAATCAAAAGAAAAAAAGTACATTTGTTACAATTTTGTAGTTTTTTTTTTTTTTTGTGCAATATTTCGTTTGAATTTAATTGTATTATCTTTTGATTTCTAAACATATTTGGTGACTTAATTATTATTTTAATAAATAAATATATCTGTTTAATAAATCTGTTTCGTTTAAATGCACCAAAATATTAACTCATTTAATATGTTTTATTAACTCATTTCTAATAACTAATTTCTTTCATCTTCGCCATGATTTCAGTACATAATATTTTAAAATATGTAGAAGTATCTTAAAAAATATCTAGTCAAATATTATTTACTGTCATCATGGCAAAGATAAAATAAATCAGTTATTAGAAATGAGTTATTAAAACTATTATGTTTAGAAATGTGTTAAAGAAATCTCCGTTAAACAGAAATGGGGGAAAAAATAAATAGGGGGCTAATAATTCAGGAGGGCTAATAATTCTGACTTGTATGGACATATTTGTAATTCCAATGGAGCATTCATTTTTGCAATATTTCAAAACATATGTTGTATATAAGACACATATTTTATATATATGTGAAAATACAAGTATGAACTTGAACGTCACTTATGTAATTAGCATATTTTTCCATGTATTAGATTTCAATATGGGAATTCTGTATTTTTGTAGGGTGTCTGGAGGAGAGCTTTTCGACTTTCTGGCACAGAAGGAGTCTTTAAGCGAGGAGGAAGCCACACAGTTTATCAAACAGATTTTAGAGGGCGTGCACTATTTGCACTCAAGGAATATTGCTCACTTTGACCTGAAGGTACAGTAAACCCATTGGGCTCATAACACTACCCAGAACATTACAGTACAGTATATTTGCTCTGACAGATGTGAATTTCTGAAGAATGCTCTGTCTGAATAACAAAGTGTCTTTGTGTGCATATAAGTGTGGGTGTATGTGTTCCTGTGTGTGTGTAATAATTTTTTTCCTGCTTTGCAGCCTGAAAACATCATGCTTCTGGATAAGAACGCGCCTCTGCCCCGAATCAAGCTCATTGATTTTGGCTTGGCGCACAAGATTGCTGAAGGGGTTGAATTTAAAAACATCTTTGGAACTCCAGAGTTTGTCGGTATGATGTGTTTTGTTAAACCCTAAAGCTTGCAAATAGCTTTCAACATGCACACAAATGGGCCAGTCACACATTTATTCAACATTTTTTAAATTTTTTGAAACATTTAAAAATGTCAAGCATTCCATGGGCTTGATTTGATAAACAGGTGAAATTAGCGTGAGAGTGCAAAGTTTTGATGGGGACTGCTAAGTTTTGCAAGTAACCTACTGTCCGTGTGCAAATGTAAAAACCCTTGCACGACAGCTCATTTCCATAATATCCATAACTGTGTCAATATTGAAAGGTCAGGTCACTTTTCCAGTTGTAATGATTAAGCAATTTTTTAAAAAATGTTCTAGCATGGCCTAAAACAAATATCTGTATATGTAAGAATGTGTATATATAAAATGTCTATGTGTTTTTTATTCATTTATGTGAATTTTTTAGTTCTAGAAATGATTTTTTTTTCAGGGCAAATGATTTTTTTTCAGAAATTATTTGTGTGTGTGTGTGTGTGTGTGTGTGTGTGTGTGTGTGTGTGTGTGTGTGTGTGTGTGTGTGTGTGTGTGTGTGTGTGTGTGTGTGTGTGTGTGTCTGTGTGTGTGTGTGTGTGTGTGTGTGTGTGTGTGTGTGTGTGTGTGTGTGTGTTTGTGTGTGTGTGTGTGTGTGTGTGTATGTATATATATATATATATATACAGTTGAAGTCAAAATTATTACCCCGCCCCTGTTTATTTTTTTCCTCAATTTCTGTTTAACAGAGGGAAAATAGTTTCATCCCATTTCTAAGCATAATAGTTTTAATAACTCATTTCTAATAACTGAATTATTTTATCTTTGTCATGATGACAGTAAATAATATTTGACTAGATATTTTTCAAGACACTTCTATACAGCTTAAAGTGACATTTAAAGGCTTAACTAGGTTAATAAGGTGAACTAGGCAGGTTAGGGTAATTAGGCAAGTTATTGTATAACAGTGATTTGTTCTGTAGATTAGCGAAAAAAAATTACCTCAATGGTTTTTAAAATATTAATAACTGCCTTCATTGTAGCCGAAATAAAACAAATGAGACTTCTCTAGAAGAAAAATTATTATCAGACATACTGTGAAAATTTCCTTGTTCTGTAAAAAAATCTTTTGGGAAATATTTAAAAAAGAAAAAAAAATCAAAAGGGCTATTAATTCTGACTTCAACTGTGTGTATATATATATATATATATATATATGTATGTATGTATATGTATGTATGTATATATGTATGTATATGTATGTATGTATATATAGTTGAAGTGAGAACTATTAGCCCCCCTTAGATTTTTCTTTTCCTTTTTACAATATTTCCTAAATAAAGTTTAACAGAGCAAGGAAATTTTCAGAGTATGTCTGATACTATATTTTTTTCTAAAAGCCATTTTCAAAATTATTAATCCCTTTAAGATATATTTATTTTTAATAGTCTACAGAACAAACCATCGTTATACAATAACTTGCCTAATTATCCTAACCTGCCTAGTTAACCTAATGAGCCTTTAAATGTCACTTTAAGCTTGTCACTTTAAGCATATATATATATACACACAATTGAAGTCAGAATTATTAGCCCCCTTTTGATTTTGATTTTTAAATATTTCCCAAATTATAACAGAGTAATGAAATTTTCACAATATGTCTGATAATATTTTTTCTTCTGGAGAAAGTCTTATTTGTTTTATTTCGGCTAGAATAAAAGCAGTTATACATTTAAAAAAAAACATTTTTGGGAAACAATTATTAGCCCCTTTAAGCTATTTTTTTTTTCGATAATCTACAGAACAAACCATCGTTATACAATAACTTGCCTAAATACCCTAATCTGCCTAGTTAACCCTATTAACCTAGTTAAGCCTTTAAATGTCACTTTAAGCTGTATAGAAGTGTCTTGAAAAATATCTAATAAAATATTATTTACTGTCATCATGGAAAAGATAAAATAAATCAGGTCACACTTTACAATAAGGTTTATTAGTTAATGTTAATTAATGCATTTACTAACATGAACAAACAATGAACAATACATTTACTACAGTATTTGTTTATGTTAGTAAACGTTAGTTAATGAAAATTCAATTGTTCATTGTTAGTTCATGTTAACTCACGGTGCATTAACTAATGTTAACAAGCACTGACATGGATGTTAATAATGCATTAGTAAATGTTCAATCATGATTAATAAATGCTGTACAAGTGTTGTTCATGATTACTTCATGTTAGTAAATGCATGAACTAATGAACCTTATTGTAAAGTGTTACCATAAATCAGTTATTAGAAATAAGTTTTTTAAACTATTATGCTTAGAAATATGCTGAAACAAACTTCCCAGAACGGAACAGAAATTGGGGAAAAAAATAAACAGGGCCGCTAATAAATCAGGGGGGCTAATAATTCTGACTTCAACTGTATACATATATATATATATATATATATATATATATATATATATATATATATATATATATATATATATATATATATATATATAGTGATTTAAGGGATTACATCGCTTTGTAAATGTTTATTAGTACCATTTGTTAATGCCACCCATGCAGTTTGATAAAGCTCTTGGAAGCTGTTTCATGTGTTTTTAAATACAATATTTATGCTATATATAAATGTTTAATTTCTCAGCTCCAGAAATTGTGAATTATGAACCACTGGGACTGGAAGCAGATATGTGGTAAGATTTATTTTGAATGCACAGGAAACATCAAAATTAATAATTTCTTTTTGGTTTTGATTTTAAATAATGAAATGCTTTGCTTTTATAGGAGTGTTGGTGTTATCACATATATTCTGTAAGTTCTTAAAACTGTTTCACCTATCTGCATTATTTCTTCAGACTATCGATTTAATGATATGTACATTTTAACAATGTTCTGCTGATAATTTGTCTCAATGTAGGTTAAGCGGTGCGTCTCCTTTCCTAGGAGAAACAAAACAGGACACCCTGGGAAACATCTCGGCCATGAACTATGAGTTTGATGATGAATTCTTTGGCCACACCAGTGAGCTCGCCAAGAATTTTATACGACAACTGCTGGAAAAAGACACCAAGTATGTTGCAGAGTGCTGAGATCATCTGAAGCCATGTGTGTTTGAGTGTGAGCTTTAGATTTGATGCTTGATGGATGTGAAATTGCACAAATTACCATCCCAATTGTGTTTTTCAGAAAACGACTCACAATTCAAGATGCCTTAAACCATGCTTGGATCAAGGTGGGTTATTGTACAGTGTATCCGAAAAGTGTTCAACGTACTTCACTTTTGCAGAAATGTCATGTATGTTGCTGGTGATGCGGTGGCGCATTGGGTAGTGCTGTCGCCTCATAGCAAGAATGTGGCTTGTTTGAGCCTCGGCTGGCATTTCTGTGTGGAGTTTACATGTTCTCTCCATGTTGGTGTGGGTTTCCTCCGGGTGCTCTGGTTTTCACCACAGTCCAAAGACATAGGTCTAAAAACACAGTCCAAAGCGCTATAGGTGAATTGGGTAAGCTAAATTGTCTGTAGTGTATGTGTGTGAATGAGAGTGTATGTGTGTTTCCCAGTGATGGGTTGCTGCTGGAAGGGCATTCCCTGTGTAAAACATATGCTGGATAAGTTGGCGGTTCATTCTGCTGTGGCGAACCCAGATTATTAAAGGGACTAAGCCGAAAAGAAAATTAATAATTATGTTGCAATTCCAATAAATAGAATAAATCCTCAAAATTCTCGAAATAGTTCACCATAATGACAACATGAAAGTAGTTTAAAAGCTTTGAACCAACATATATCTCCACACACTATCAACACTTGCTCACATATTTATTAAATGTTTATTCCTTTGGTCTCCTGAACTTAATCATATATACATACATAGAAAGTCACAACATTTTAAAGAAAACAGATAACAATTAATAATTAATATCACTAATGCAAACCACACTGTAAAAAAAAAATATATCTGTAATTAACAGTTTCTGTATTTTGTGATTCACAAGTGTTTATAATTGCATTATGGAAGCTTGATCTCTGCTCTGTCGACTTTTGATGTTGAAAATGGAACTCACAGTTTAACAAAGTGACTTTCATTGACATTACTATGTTTTGTACCATAATATACAACACCGACCCAGACAATATATCATTTTAAACTATTAAAATTTTTAATAAAAGTCACTTTTTCAAACTTTTTAAGGTTAAAAGTTGTTGGAAGAAACATAAAGGTCCCATAAAACAATTTAAAAGCATAAATAAACAAGAAAAATAAAAAAAAAATGAAATATGAATCTCAAAAAATGGAAAATTTGATAATTTACGGATATTTTTAATGTGCAATTACCATTTATAATATGTATAACGAGCAGTCATGACTCAAAACACCTTTTATCCATCATGGGTAAATAAATAAATAATAAAAATATTCATAAAAACAACACCCTATTTCTAAACACCCTAATCAAACCATTTATATCACCACATTAAATAGTGCATCATGATTTAGTGCTCAGATGCTGCGATTTGTAAACTCACAATCCACAACAATTTGTATCTCAATAAAACAATAGTGGCGTCACAGTGGCGCAGTGAGTAGCACAATCGCCTCAAAGCAAGAAGGTTGCTGGTTCAAGCCTTGGCTGGGTCAGTTGTCATTTCTGTGTGGAGTTTGCATGTTCTCCCTGTGTTCGCTTGGGTTTCCGCCTAGTGCTCCGGTTTCCCCCACAAGTCCAAAGACATGCGGTACAGGTGAATTGGGTTGGCTAAATTGTCCGTAGTGTATGTGTGTGTAAATGAGTGTGTATAGATGTTTCCCAGTGATGGTTTGCAGCTGGAAGGGCATCCTCTGCTGCATAAGTTGTCGGTTCATTCCACTGTGGCAACCCCTGAATAATAAAGGGACTAAGCCTAAAGAAAATTAGTGAACAAATAAAACAAAAGCCAAATTACCTAAAATAATTTATCATCATTTAGGTCCCCTATTTTTTTTTACCTCTTTTACAAGATTTAAGAAAAGTCTTTGGTGTCCCCTGAATGTGTCTATGGAGATTCAGCTTAAAATACCCATCAGATTATTTATTAATGGAGTATATGCCTATTTTGGCAGTGGAGCTGTTTTTGTAGCCTGAACCTTTAAATGCACATGAGCTGGTTATCCCTCCTGGGATTTGGACCCTGCCTGCTTGTTAAGTGTGACGTCACGCGAAGCAGTTTCCGGGTCCAAGCATTCTGTCAAACTGTATGGGAAGACTCAAATGGTAATAATAAACGTTTACAAAGTGATGTAACACTTTCGACAATCACTACGTATATTTATATATCCATGCCTATAATCAGATGGCCAGAAAGTGATTAATTTTTTAATATATTGTTAAAGTATTGGTGTCTGAGATGCAGAGACAGAGTCTTCCAGAGACTGTTGTGTACTCTATGATTTTATATAAAATTCACTTTAATGTGTGATATGACTAAAAAGTGATCAATTCAATTGAAGCTGCTATTTGGACCCAGAAACAGTATTCCATACGTCACCGATACTTCATGACTTAACAATTGGATTTTAACATTTAACTAATTAAAAAAAGAGACTTGTGTTTATATCACTCTGATATGACAATGGACACACTTTACCTACACATACTGTAGTTCTGTCCAAACAGCCTCCAAAAGTAGATTTTTCATCAGTTTAACTTTGAAACTCTGGTTTGAAAGTTTGTGAAATCAGTCCAGAACTGTACCTTACACATTTTGATACATTTTTGTACTGTATTTTGTGAAGAATTGACAGTGTGCATGATTATTTCTTTCCTTTGCACATTTTTAAATGGTGATTTTTCTCCTACACATCTATAATTTCTTCAGATTTTGAGTTTGAACTGATACTTTGTTAAAGGACCATCAGTACCAAGTCTTATTGAGTATGCTGCTACAAGTCTTAATACCTTTCTCAATCATAACTCAATCCCCATTTGTCCATTCGCAGTCTAACGAGCATAAGGAAGATCGTAATAAAGCCCCAGAGAGGAAGAGAGAGCGCAGGCAGCTGAAGACGAAGCGTCTCAAAGAGTACACCATCAAGTCCCACTCCAGCATGCCTCCGAACAACACCTACATCAACTTCGAGCGCTTCGCACAAGTGGAAGAGGACGTGTCGGCCATGGAGGGCACATTCTGCCAGCTGGCATCAGCCCACGATTCCCTGCAGGAGGACATCGATGCACTTGTGTCCATCTACAATGAGAAGGAGATGTGGTACAAAGAAGAAAGCGAAAGCATCAGGCATGAGCTGTCCCAGCTGCGCTATGAGTTTCGTAAAGTGGAAGCCCAGAGACGCGGCGTTCACGAAGAGATGAGGAGCGTGGATGCCAGTGTTAACAGAGTGAGCGAGAAATATAAGGAAAGACAGAGCCGTTTCGATGCTCTACAGAAGGAACTGTGCACTGAGCTGCAGTGGGTTCAGGAGGTGGTGGGTTCCTTTCAGGTCAGCTTCCCAAACTGTAGCTTTAGCAGCGTGTTTAATACTGATGTCAATGAAGCACTGAAAGAGCTGTTGAATAGATCCTGTGGAGGAGACCTGCTGACGGGCAACAACCTGGACCAGCAGAGATGACCACTGTTATTGGTCACATGTGTAAGGAATAATCAATAACAAGATGCAATTATTAGAAAAAAAATGCTCCGCTGAAGTGGTGATGCGGGCACAGAGTAAAGCAGGTTTTAAAAATGCATTATATTTGAAAATTTCAACAGACCACAGTCAATTATGCTATGGTTATCACACCTAAACACTGTTCTGATGTTGTATTTCATGAAATGCGTGTTTTTTTTCTTCTCCTCAAACAGCTCAAGCTCATGATCAAGTCTTCAACAGATACATATACACTGAAAAAAAGTAAATCAAAGATTATTCCTTGGATTTACTAAATTTAAAGTGAAGTGGTTCTGAATTTAAACAAATAAATTAAGTTGAACATTACTAAATTTAATTAGTTTGTTTAAATTCAACCCAAAATATTTTTTAGTGTACTTTAAAAACCTACTCATTTGAAGCTAGCTGAATCAACATAATTCTTGTTTTTTTGGACAACTTAATTGTTTCATGTTCAATTCACAATTAGTAAAAAAAAAATAAAAATTTAACGTAAATGATTCGTGTTGGGAACACATGAAAGAATTGTGTGGAACCCAGCATTTTTTCGGTGCAGTACAAAGCTATTTATTTTAAAGAGCTGTTGAATGCTGGATTCTGATTGGGTCTTGAATATTCTAAGGTGTGCAGGACCATTTTCAGGAAAACACACAGGTTAAAGGGCCGTTCACACTAAGGATGATGACTAGAAATAGAACAATATTTATATTTGTGTCCAAAATGGCAAAAGATAAACATTTGTTTATTTATTTATAGTTTATTTTCATCTGTTTGCATTGCATCATTGTAACCTACAAGAATCTAGCTTGTGTAATCTATCTATTCTAACCATAAATTTAGCTATTGCTGTTTAAAATTGCAATTTAAAAGCGGCAACAGACCATTACTAAATAGCTGAGATAGCTTTTTTTAGAATTCTCTCACATGATAAAACAAACAAAATTTCAAGAAGTCATTATCTTTAAATAAACTTTTATACTTTAGATAATGTGTTTTCACAATACTGTCTTTAGCTTTTAATTGCTCAAACCATTTATATTTCAGTGGAATCTGACTGGCTGTCCATGTTTTATTGTTTAATAGCTGAAAAAAAATTCTGAAAGTGGGCCAACTTTATAGTTTCTCACATTATAGTGGTGGTCTGAACTCTGCTCTTGTTTTACATTTAGAATTTTTTTTAAATGACGTCTTAATTGTTACCTTTATAGTTAATATGCTTGTTGTAAATGTCTCTTAAGCACACAGAAAAAAAATATTGATGCCAAACAATTTATATCGGCGAAATTTTAACTAACTAATTAAATTTGGCAATGTTTAAATTAATTTGTTTGTTTAAATTCCGCCTAAAAAACTTAACCGCTTACCTTAAAAAATTGTAAATCCAATAAATATTTTTTCAGTGTAGTTACGGGCGGGTTTTGACCTCAATACAGTTCCATATCATATAGTTTTTCATGAAAGTTAAGTCAGTTGCTTAAAAAAACAACAGTAAAATGTAATATAGTAAAGCAAGCAGGTTTATTTTGCTAACTGTCATTACAAAACAGATCTTCTTTTAAAAGTAAAAAAATCATAAAACCAGATGTGATGTTTTTATTTTCAATAATGAAGTGTATCCCTCTTTTCTTTCTATTTCCTGATCAGCTGTAATTTGTTCAGACAGTGTACACAGAACATGGTGTTCACCTTTGGTTACTTGTTTACCAGATCTGATTACATAAGGTTAAAAGACAACTGAACTCAGCTTATTTGATTAAACCCAGCTAATGGATTGAATATGCTTCTCCAGGGTTTCCCCCCTTTTTTCCATGGCTGCCTGCTGTGGCGTTTAGAGGAACTATTTTAATTTATATTGTATTCAATAAGTACAGAATGGGCCTATTGTTATGTCTACATGACACAAGTTGTTATCCTTAGTGGGATGATGCTTCCTCTAACATAAACTTGTAGACCAATCAGACTCTTTTAAACAGTTGACTACACTACTGGAACTACTGCAAAGTGATTAGATTCACTGAGTCTACTGTTTTGGAATGCACTAAACTCTAAAAGGAGGTTATGCTACGTATACTTTATGATTGTTCTGCAGTATTTTGGTGAGTAATGTATTTAAACTCTAGCTTTGCTACTATCTTGTTAAAAAATCCTCTGATTTATATACATGGTCATCGTTACATTGCATTCAATCTTGTATACTTTGAAGGCATTCCTTTCTTCAAAGTATCCTTTTAAGGACTAACTTTTACGTCCTTTTGAATTCACATGCATGCTGTGGGGTACACAGTATTTACTCATGGTCTTGCATCCTGTTATGTTAGTTTCCCTCCAAATCTATCAGTCTTTGTCACGTGCTGTCATATAGATGTGGTTATGCAAGCTCAACTCACTGACCAGAATCCTTAAGCGACACTGTCATGCAGATTTGACTTGTTTTTCTCTTCTGCGCCACACAGAGCTCTTCATTCATACGCAACTATCTTAATAGCAATTTGTGGATAGTTTTAGCAGCAAGCAAAACCCCTTGAAGGCATGTTTGTCAGCTCTAAGAAAATGCATTCAGAAGGCTAAAAAAAGCTGTGTACTCAGACATCAACACATTTCATCGTTCGTTCTGCAGCAACACGGGCTGTGTTTTTTACTTCTCTATACTGCATATTACCACAAAGCATTGTGGAAACATTGTTTTTGTATTACACTTTCAGTTCTATAGGGGTCAGTGTTCACCTTATTTACTGTGGCACCCACGGGCATGTTGTCCATTACACGAACTGGTTTTAGATGAAAGGCCTCATAATGTGTGTATTGTTGGGTAACTGATGGTAGTGACTCACTGGTGTTTGGCTTCTGGGCTTAATAAATGTTGGATGGGTCAGGGATGATTGTGTTTTATTGCAATGGAACATAAAAAAAAAGATATGTTTGAGAAATGGCCTTGTGAGTACTTTACACCACAATAATTTATTCTTGTAAAATCAGCTTGCCTTATTATTAATTACATTTTTGGGTCTCGCTTCTACAATTATATCTTTTATTAGATGCTTGTGTGTGCATGTGCATGTCTGTGTGCACTCAGATAGGTCTGGAGAATGTTTATCTGGATGTGTGCAGCGCTACAGATTAGGTATTAGTTTTATCAAACTATTATTTTTGTTGTTCACTCTATAGACATTTTATACTACTACTGAAAACCGTAATATATATATATATATATATATATATATATATATATATATATATATATAGGAGGACTTTTCTTTTTAGGTTATGAACTCTTTTAAGTTATGAAATGCCATTCCTATAATGTTGCAGGGTGGTTAATTTTAAATGACTTAAAATAATGTATACAGAATGTTTCATTGTTTTTATGCAAATTTACAATGTTCCTAGAACATTCTGGGAAGCAAAACATTTTAGCTGGATTATAATGTTTACATTTTTACTGTGCACCAATAGAATTGCTTGACTGTTTTTTTTTTTTATTAACATACTTAATGGGTAGATGTAAGTGATGCATGTGTTTGTATTGTCAGTATTGAAGGTTGATTGTGAACTAAAAACACAATTTATCTTTATCTTAAACTAAAGCTGAGATAAGATGGTACACTTTTCACTTTTTCAATAGTGTTTTTATTGAACATGTAGATATAAAATGTAGTACAAGTAGCTTGAAATTTTTCTTTTAGACACAAAAAACAAACAAAACCCGTCGCACACATTCATTTAGGTTCTTTAAGAATATATTTATATAAAAGTTAATAATAATATTAAATAAAACATTTTATATATATATAAACATATATAAAAGGAAAGAAAATAAAAGGAAAATAAAATAAAAGATACATTTATAAAACAAAATAACAAGGCTCTACACTGTAAAACACAACAGTCAACCTTATCAAATGAAATGAATGTAGTTAACTCAAAAATTACTGAAAGTTAATTCTACTCATTTGAAAAGAGTTTTGAACTCAGTGTTGAAGGTAATGAGTTCATTAAATAGACTCAGAAATATATTTGTTTTGCTTGTTCAAACTACTTATGTAAAATAAGGTGAAACAACACAATTCTTGAGATTTCATTGGGACAAATTAATTTCTTTATGTTAATACACAATTTGTTTTTTATCAATTTGTGTTGGGACAACATAAATGATTTGTGTGGAACCCTGCATTTTTACAGTGTACCTCATTAATTCAACTTAAATGGAGTAAGTCCACAGTACTCATAGATTTGTTTTTTTTTTAACTCAAATACTTTGTTGCAATTGGTTTCCTCAAACGGTTTGAGTTGTCCATACTGGGTTTTACAGTACTCACTTGGTTTGACTTCTCTCGATTTATTGGGATTTACTATGTTAAATTGCTTCGTTTACTTAAATGGATTAAGTTCACAGTACTCATTAGGATTAGAGTTTGAACTTAAATAGTTTGTTGCAATTGGTTTCCTCAAATGGTTTGAGTTACCTTAACGTTTTGGGTTTTACAGTGTACTCTTCTAAAATAACTGAAGGGTCTATCTTCTTTATGTGATCTAAAACAGGTTGCCAAGTGAGAAAAAACATATCAGTACAACCTCTTACAGTGTATTGTATCTGTATCAGATGTTGTAGAAGTTCCATAAGCCAATGCTTAAAGGTTGGAGGATTTTTTTTCCTTCCATTTGTGCAATATTAACCTTCTAGCTGCAAAGGCAATCACATTTACAGTCAAAGTCCGTATTATTAGCCCCCTTTTGAGTTTTGTTTTTCTTTTTTAAATATTTCCTAAATGATGTTTAATAGAGCATGGAAATTTTCACAGTATGTCTGATATTTTTTCCTCTGGAGAAAGTCTTATTGGTTTTATTTCGGCTAGAATAAAAGCAGTTTTTAATAATAATAAAAAAAAAAAATTATTTTAAGATCAAAATTATTAGCTCGTTATACAATAACTTGCCTTATTACCCTAACCTGCCTATAGTTAAATGTCACTTTAAGCTGTTTAGAAGTGTCTTAAAAAATATCTAGTAAAATGTTATTTTCTCTCATCATGGCAAAGATAAAATATTAAAGATATATATTATATTAAAGATTTAAATAGTAGCTGCCAGAAATCTTTTAATTTTGATCAAGCC